ACATAGGTAATAACGTGTCTTTGGGACAATGGCATGCTAACTCACTTGGCCTCATGGGGAGAAACCCTCAATGAAACTTGCCAAAAATGACTCCGATTTCTGGTGAGAGTCAGTGCACTGTCATTACAATTCCCAAACAATCTATTAAACTTCTGAAACATTTAAAGCCTTATGATTAGACAGTTAGTGTGAACCAGGCAGTTAAACCAAAATCTAGTGATTGTATGGCCAACATCACTTGGTATTCGAGCATCTTCTTTAACACACTTTACACACAAGCATTTTGTACTGCCTTTTAAATGTTATATTTATTCACAACTTAGCTTCCCCCTACCAGCTAGGAAAACTGTAAAAGAACATTAGTGCTGGTAGGACTGTGTGCTGATTAGTTCACTTGGCTAGGAAAACTAACATGTGAATTAGATTAATGTCAACAGCATGGGATTCAATCCCCATTCCAGATGAAGTCTCTTTGGATTTGCCTCTTTGCCTTTCCTGTGGCTAAAAAAAAAAACATGGCACTTTGTATAAAATACAAGGACTTGTCTTTGGGCACTGAACTGAAGAAGAAGGTGCCCATGCATGCTGGTTGACAACGGACGCATGCCTTGTCCTCCCACAGCTGATGTGAGAGATCTGAGTTATTTCCACAGTGATGCAGCACAGAAGCTCAGTTGTTAACATTTAGCGGCGTGATGTCCTTTGGCTAAGACTTGAATCCATGGCCAATGGAACCCTGGATTGTGTGCCTTCCTGCTATTCTATCAGATTCATTGTTCTGGAAAAGTTTGTGAACCAATTGTCCAGCAATGGTCCAAAAATCAGCCACTCAGCTACTCAAGAAAATATACATTATAATTAAAGACAAATAGGCTACTTGTTGTTTTGTTGGGTTAAGAAAAATTTTAATTGTTTTAAAGTTAACAACTGTAAGCGGCAATAATGATGTGAAACGAGACTTGCAATAATTAATATACTTCACAAGACTAGAAGAATAGAAATGTTTTGGGGGTTGGGAAAGATAAGAAGAATTATATGGAAATAAAATACATGACTTCTAAATCCAGATTCTTAAATTAGTGACAAACAGTTCCTATTTGCCAAACATACAAATTAGCCTATACAATTTAGCCCTAAACCTATTTCAAATGTATCATTTAATGTGAAAATATTAGATTTGTTTCCATATGGTATTTCCCTCCTTTGAAATTGAAGTCTAAAATGAAGCACATGTCTGCCATTTTAGATTTATTTTTACAAATTGGATATTTTATATCCTAGAAAACACAATGGTGATGATACAGGTATCACCATATTATGAGAGTGCATTGTAGAATCACTTCCCTGAATTAAAGAATACTCTGCTTAAGTTAAATTGGGAGAAATTGAGAACACTTTGGTCACAAAATCAGTCTAGAACCAGAGGGCATCGTCTCAGAATAAGGGGTCGCACATTAAAGACAGATGAGAAGGAGTTTCTACTTTCAGAGAGTTACGAATTTGTGGAATTCTTTACCCCAGAGGGCTGTCAAGGTTAGGTTATTAAGTATATTCAAGGCTAAGACAGACAAATTTTTAAGCAGTAAGGGTATCAAAGATTATGGGGAAAAGGCAGGCAAATGGAGTTGAGGATTATCAGATCAGCCATGATCTCATTGAATGGCACAGCGGACTTGATGGGCTGAATGGCCTACTTTTGATCCTATGTCTTATGGTCTTGACAGATTCAAGATGGCTCCTGAGCCATCAATTCCTTAGGAAGAACCAACAGTGCCTATGTACTCTAATAGCGTGTAAAACAACTTATGTACCTTGACCTTTCCCAGAGTCCTTTTGCATTTTGGTTACCAAGCCCATCGATCAATTTCCACCTTTCTTTTAACATTTTTTTCTCTTTACCCCTCAAAGACTCCCACTTCTACATTTTTAAAGCCTATCTTTGTGTCAGTTTTCTGTCATCTGACCAAATATCTCGTGTCTCGCTATCTTACTTTGTTTTAAAATGCTCCTGTGAAATGCTTTAGCTTATCTTAATATATGAAAGGTGGTACACAAATATAATTTGTAATGCCCTTTAGGGAAAGAAATTTGCTCTTTTTACATGGTTAGGCCTACATATGACTTCAGACAATGCAGTTGGCTCTTAACCGCCTTCTGTAAGATCCTAGCAAGTTCCAGTGCATTCGAGTAGGTACCTCAACACCACTTCACAAGAGAAATTAGGGATAATCAATTAATGCCACAATATGTTCACATTTCCTAAATTATTGTAAAAAAAAACTGCCTTTACTTGGCTGCAAGTCTATCAGTGTCAGATCGTTATCGTATGTAGTTGAAATATCCATTAAACTGATGTTTTGTATTAATTCAGTCAAAAAGCTGGATTTTAACTTCAGCCACTTATGAACAAAGTCAACACTGGGTTCCATGCATGCCCACAGTTTGTAAACTTTACTGCAATGTCATGTACAGTAGCAATAAGTAAAAATTGAACTATGATACCATACAGTAGCTTGTTCAGGAACACACAATCATTAATCAATAGCATTATTTACTCAGCACTATAAAATGATTGATTAAGAATGTTATCAAACAACAAGAATAACATTTAAATGGGAACATCATTGGCTGAATGTATTCAGGCTCTGTTATAAGCCGAGCACAGGTTAGCTTCTTTAGTGATCATACTCATTAAATATAAACTCTAACTGGCTTCTATGTAAACTGAATTATTTTATGCACTTGCATATTTAAAAGGATTGTTCTTCCCAGAATCTCATCAATTGTTTTGTCAAGCTCTTCGTTGCAATTGTTTAGCTTGCCTTCTGCTATATTAAATATTATCAACAACATCTTTAACTGAGTTTTACTCCATTTGAATCAGGCAATTACCATCCTCCATTGTGCTGTGATCATCAAAACAATTCATGACTCCTAAGATATGGTTTGTTCAAATTTACAGTATCACAAATTGATATAAAAATGCTTATAATTACACTTTTCTTTATTAAGGCTCTTCAAACTTCACAAACTGTATAAGGAAAAGGAAACTGAGAACTAATGAATCTCCAATGACAATGTATTCATCCAGAAGCCCTACTTCCAGTTTTGACATATACCAATTGTTGTCTAGCTTTTAAATATTTCTATATTTCAGTAAATATGGTTTAGATTAAACTTCAAAAGAATGCAATTTATTTATCAGCTGCATTCACATACGTCACTAACAGTTGAAATATTCTTGTCATTGTCTAATGTTGCTGCAACAATGATAATATAAATTCTTAATGGATTAAAAGTCCAAAAAAGACTTTGAAGGATCTAAATTATATTTTGCAGCAACAAAGTTAAGTTTCTTTGTATTTATTATCTACTTATCTCTTCTGCTTCCCCCACTAATTTTCTTTTATTTGTATGCCTCTTTTCCTGATGTTGCTAACTCAAGCCAGGGAATGTTTCGTTAAACAGCCATTCAATACCTAGCGCAAGTAGCTAATCTGTTGCTAATAGCCTTTCTTTTGCATTCGTTTAGGGGGTGTGGGCTTCAATGATTGGGCCAAATTCACTGGCAACGTGATGAACATTAACAAGATTTGGTTTTGGTAATTTGTCGGATGACTTGCCTAATTTAAGTGTATTGGCATTTCGAACACATATAGTAGGATTGTTCTGACCACTATTTTTGATTTAAATCAAAGACCCTCTCATGAATGATTCTTTTATGACCTTCTAAGGAGGTGAACACCAATAGCACTCAACAGGCTCCTAGCAAATTAGCAGGTTATTTCAGATACTTTCTAATCAACGTGTTCAGCAACACACCTCTGGAACAGGTGAGGCTTGAACCCAGACCTCCTAGTTCTAAAGTAGAGACACTACCACTGTGCCACAAGAGTGCTTTAGCAGCCCATTTTAAACAAATACATAGTAAGTGGTCAGTTCTCTATTGGCCACTGGAGTGCATCAATTTCAGCAACAAAGTCTTTATACAAAGCTTTGTGAATTTGTCATGTGTAAGGACAACAGTAGGAAAGTCTAATTATGTCATTTACCCCTCCTTGGTCAATTGCAGTGCATCTACCCAAATATTGGCTTTGTATAGACCCTGCAGTATAACCAGGGGATTTTACAATCTCTGAAGCTCAATATCACTCCAGGTATTTACTGAATGAGCAACTATCAAAGCTCTGCCATTATATTTGTGGAATAATTTACTATATTTTTGTTCCCCCTCCCTACACCATGTACAATTTAGTGATTGAAAAGTGAGCAAGATATCTACTTATAAGTCTCTTTTTCTTTATATGTAGCTCATAAAGACAGACACCTGGCAAAGTAAATTGAGCTGACCTCAGTTCACCTCTCCTGGAAGCAAGCACTCTTCAATGCCTTCCCTGTGACTTTACTGATACGATGCAGCTTTTGTTCATATGCAGCTCCTTTGCAATTTTTGCTTTTTTCATGACTGTGCCATTAAATTATTTTAAAAATGCAGGGTTTAATATTGATAAGATGACCTCACTGCAAGGGATATGTCAATTTCTTTTTATGCAATATCATCTGAATATGGAAAATATATGATCTTAAAAGGGCACATCCTACAGAAGTGTATTGTCAACTTTATTCTGTACTGTACTGTTTGAATTCATGCTACACATCATTAGAAGAAATGAGTTCAGATATGTTTAATATACATTCAAAATAAAGTAGGTTTTAAGAGATGACATTCAAATTTAACATGGGGCAAAACATCAGGACGAGCCTACCTATCAGTAGCAAGACATCCCAGAAACATTAAGAACTCTGTTCCTACAAATTTCTTGTAACAACCTCAGTGTGATCCTTGTTATATAACTTAAGAATCTTTTGGACAAGATTAATCATAGTAAAAAGAAACAGAAGGTTAATAATTTCATATAAGCTAGGTAATACCTTTTCAACAGGAAATTTAATTAACATTGAGCTAACATGGTTGAAAGCCATAAAATAAACAATTTAACTTTGCTGAAGTTTGTATACATTTCACCAAATACAATTATCACATATACACAAGTGAAATCAATCAATCCCAGTAAAATCTCAAACAGTGGGCACAGGGCTTAATGCAAACTATTGGCTGCGGAAATCTCAAAACTGTAACAGTCTGCAGCAACAGCACCTGTGTACGCAGATAACAAAAACCCAATATGGCTCAGCGTTTTCCACCTCTCCTTCCAAAATGATGGAGAAATGGCAGTTCTAAACAAGAATTTGAACCAGGCTGGATGTGTAGCTTGCTGCTTAAGCTCAATACTTTAAATCTTTGTAAATGTTCATTGCAATATCCAGTATAATGTGGAGGCATTCTTGTGCTCTTCAAGGTGACGGATGTCAGTGCCAGTGGAATATTTTACTACTTTCTGCACCTTGTATTAACACAAAGCATTCTGAGGACATGACTAAGATGCAAAATTATGCTTCCTCTAGACCATTATTATAATGTCCCTTAGCTGTACTCTCATTTTATATATCTCTATCACAGCGTGTGATTTGAAATCTAATGTTAATTATTGCTGAGAAAGTGGAAATTGGCTCAGAGTGACCAATGCCATCCACTTCAAACCACTAGAGACAGGAAAAGGACATTGTCACTTTATCAGTTTGGGAAAAGTTCAAAGGACGATATCACAATGCACCACACAGTCCTTTCTAACTTATTACTGGCCACTTACTATAGGTGGAAAGTTGCAATTAATAAGTAACAAAACTTCATAAATTTTCTGATTCCAAATGAAAATTGTTTTTCACCCCCTAACAAAACCTCCAGTCTACCACATAACAAGCATGTTCCTTAATTTCTTTAGAAAGATCAAAGAGAACGGAGGTAGACCTCATGTTTCTAGCTTTCCTTCACTGAACACTATAAATAGACTGCAAGGTTCTTGCTCCAAAGGCTTATCTGACCACCTGGAAACCTCAATTATTGAGTGCAATAAAATTCAGATAGTGAAAATTGCATCACAGTAGAAAATATGATTTGAATTTGCATTTTTGATGAGTCTCCAGAACTCTATCCCATGAGATACTGCTACTTATGTCCAATGTTTCAACTGGCTTTGAGAGATTGTAAATATCCAGGACTGATAACAACCTTCTGGGGCTCTGACCATCTTATTTCTGAGGTTCTAGGAGTACCAAGTTAAGAACAGTGGGCACCAGCAATCAGTGAAGGACCACCTTGCATGGACAATCATGTTGTAATGAAGAGGGTTTAGGGCACAGAGGTGACCAAACTGCTGGCTACAAGAGGTGACACAGGGTGGGTCTGACAGGCAGCTAGAAAGGTCTTCAGAGATTTTTTTTCAAAATGGTGACTTTGTTAACGGATACCCCATTCTGAGGTCCAATGAAACTCATGCACTACTTGTGTGCTGACTCAAGGCACCCTTCTCATAGGCCCCCTGCACTAGGTTTCACCAGGTACCCCCACAATGTTACAGTGCTTTTGCTTTTATGTCCAATAGTAAATGGAGCAGAGGCTTATCACCAAATGTCAATCTCTACACTTTAAGCTAGTCTCATGTAACCTTTATCTAGTTAAATACTAATTTCTCAAAACTTAATTAATTGGATCAATTTCTGCACAGTCTAAGTCATCTAAAACACTTTAGCTTAGACGTTTGTTCAACTGCTTTCCATCTTGTAAAACATTTTTTGTTGCCCACACACTACTTCCTAGTGTTGCTGCATTCAGTGATGCCGCCTCATGCTACAAAAAGAACAAGTGTGGCATGCAGATGAGTCCAAAGAGATTGATCTCCGAGGGTTCTTCTGGAGGAACTCATCAGTTTTATTGTCAATAATTAATATGAGACTGAACAATGCACAGTACTTGTTGGGTAACTCATCTGGTTGTGATGCCAACAATATATAAATAGTATCTGGATGTCAGATGCAGAATGGACAGCCTACATATTTGGAGGCTTGGCCAAGCTGAATATCCAGCCTCTCCCAGTAGCTGGTACTGAGACTGGGACAGGACATGCTGGTAATGGATAGAATGGTACTCATTTATTAAACATTTTGGATAAGGATAGCAGCTGTACAAATGGAACAATGTTCCATACAAACTGCAATAATTACCTCCATACCATACCATTTGTACATATTCCAGTGTGAAATTAACTATCGTGTGTACATATATTTTTATACTTGTTGGCATGGTAACAAGCAGGAAACAGGACTGCATACGCTTTCACACATTTAAGTCTTATTAGATTCTCTGAAGAGACATGCGCTCTCTGTTCACATGACTCAAGCCATCTGTTTCAGTCCCACCTCATTTGGAATTGGTAAACAAATGGACACAGCCATTGAGAATTTACAGGAAAAGTCAGAAATTGGCTTTTGCCAAGGGATACATCTGTGATGACAGGTGGGTAGAGCAAATTAAGGGTTCTAAAAAATAAATGCTAAAATGGATTCATATATGTCTATATATTCCTTGCACTACCATCCTTCACCCTATGGAGAAATCATTCAATTACAATGTCAGACTCCTTCGCTTCTGTAATACACAGCTCTAGAAACCAATCTTGCCATGTAACATACTTTTTTTTTTAAAACAGTGCAGCACTGTTCTTTCGTATTCTTACATCTTATACTACAAATTACATGGATTTCAGCTATACATCTACACAAACACTCATCTTCATTTCTGTACATATGTAATGTCAATATTGAAAAGATCTACCAAATATGGCACAATGAATAACAATAGGGATGAATGATAAGGCTTGGTAGATCCAAGAGAAGCATGGAATAAGGAAGCAGATACAGTTTAAAAAAAACAGCCAAATACCACAAATGAAATATTTTCAATATCTTTAACTGAGCAACCATCTACTTCATTAGTCCATTACAGCAACCACTATTCAACCTTACATTCCCAGTTTAATATACAAGTTTTAATTCCAATTCATACTCACTTGTTCAGTAACAAAGTAATGAAATTTGGTTTATCTTATTTTAAAATTATATGTCTAATAACAAAGTTTGTTACGACTGATACTGGTACCGTCACACTATGCAGATATAAAATGAACCATCCACTGAGGTGACAATATCATTAGTAATATAATGCTTTCCAATACAGAACAGAACAAAACAAATAGATAAAATAAGTATGGCTTACATTAATTTGCAAAAGTAAATCACACATAACAAGAAAAAAAATACACCATTGATTGAACCTGCCTTTGAGTTCAGACATTAAAAAACTTGTGCATTCTCACTCATGACATAAGGACAAGTGACACCTCTTTTTATTCTTAAAGTAATAGTTCACCAAAGACTTAGAACGAACAGCAACATTGCAATTTACCTTTGTATTGATGATGCCCTCAATGAACATTCGTTTGTTAGAACCTTTTGATTGTTTTTGTATAAACTAAATAAACTGAATGGGACAGTCCTAGTTCTGTGGCTGGAGGAGCAAGTCCAATCTTAGTGCAGACCAGTTCATTGCTGCCCTTTACCACTTCACTGAGCAGCTCTGATTTGGCCATCTGTTTGAAAGTGACTTGGCAAATTGTTTTATGTAAGACAACAATGCAAAACTTCCCATAAACACAATCCTTTGCACTGAATGCAACTCATACAAACCTTCCAGAGGAAAACAAACAGGAAAATGTCAATTTTCCAAGGCCTGTTGCTCTGACATGAAGGTTTTATTTTAAGTAAAGGTGATGGAAAGAGATCTTCACGTCTAAATTGCATTGGAATTTTTCATTGACTCTAGACTTGTCTCCAGTTCCGTAACCTGTATAAAATATTCATAAAACAGCAGTGAGAACAGTATGTAAAAAAAATCCATAATCATTCTTTATGATATTGCCACCGTAATTTTAGGCCTTTGACTATGACATCCTTGAAGTGGCTATTATTGCGGGTGGGGAGGTGCAAGTATGCATGGATAGGACAATTTGCTTTTCTCTGACTGACAGAAATAGGTATTTGAATATGCCACTCAGCCCTCAAGTCTGCTCCTCCTTTAAATTAGATAATGATTAGTGAAACAACTCCAAGGAGGTAGGTATCCTGTCACCAAGTCACTTTTTTATTTATGCGTGCACAGTACAAGGACTCAGGCCAGTTAGCTCAGAGGCAGTCTCTAGAATTAGGAGGCTCTCTATCTTCTGTTTATATCTGTCAGCCAGGGCTCCCTGATTGGCCCAGTTTAGAATCCCCAATCAACAATCTCAGTCAATGAGATCCACTGGAACCTCGTTCCAATCAGTTGTTGGAATCAATCTTAATTTCATTGACTCGCTTTGGTTACAGACCTCTTAAATCTATGACTGATTTTCAATACTTTGTGGGGAAAAAAATCTCATGATTTCATTCCTGAACAGTACACTTTAAAAGTATGTTCTGGACTTCCTAACAAAGGATGTAGTTTCTCTCCACCCACTCTGTGAGATCCTTCAATCATTTTAAACACCTCAAACGGAAAAGCATTAAATTTTCCATGCTCATAGGAATAAAAGCCTCAGCAAGGCAACTTGTTCTTGTAATTTTTATGCCTCTTAGCCCTGGTATCATTCTGATGAAGTTGTTCTGCACCCCATCCATCCAAAACCAATGACGTACGGTGCTGACTCACTACTCGGGGCTTTTTAGAAGCAGAGTTTTATACAACACAGTATAAATTCCATCCATTTGTATTCCAGCTCTCTCAAGATTAAGGTTAACATTCCATTAACTTTCTTTTTACTATTTTTTGCACCTGGATACAAAATCAAAAAGGAAATGATTTGGACTTTTCCCGGGATGAACGAAAAAAACGCTATGGTAGTACTGTTACAAAAACTGCAATTACTGTTGTAAAGTAATTTCTCTTTCCAATTAATTTTCAATAAAGAAAGATTTGTGCTTATGCATTGCACGAACTCACAATACCTCAAAGTGTTTCATAGCCAATGAAGTCCTTTTCATGGATAATCACTTGTCTACCATAAGAAATGTAAGAATTGCTCCAATTTTACATTTTGCCTGATCAGACCACATGCAGGCCAATCCGCTATCTTAATCAACCTAGTTGTCACTGTTGCCTATTGTCATAATTTAATTTGAATGCATTTCCCAGTAGTTACTGGGCTAGTGATGAACAAGTTGCAGGCTGTGGTGGCGTTCAGATATGGTGAAAGCTATCTGATTCACTACCTGCCTCTTTCAAGGGGTCAAAACCTGTAAGGGCATAAATCTCTAAAGAAGTGTTTTTTTAATATAATTTCCTATTAGGGATGTTATATAAAAGGAAGAAAAAAATTGGAAATTTCACATGTCAAATTTTAACTTGGTTGAGTAGATTGCTTACCATTCAGACACATATTACAACTTGTAAAAGAGAGTAACAAGGTGTAGAGCTGGATGAACACAGCAGGCCAAGCAGCATCAGAGGAGCAGGAAAGCTGACGTTTCGGGTCTGGACCCTTCTTCTGTGTTCATCCTGCTACGTTCATCCAGCTCCACACCTTGTTATCTCAGATTCTCCAGCATTGGCAGTTCCTACTATCTCCTTACAACTTGTAAAAGCTGTGTTTAACTGTTTCCAATTATGGAAGGAGGAGTCTGAAAGATCATGTACTGACAGCAATTACATTACTTGGCCGATAAATCTGAGATCAACTCTGAAAAGTTAAATAGAAATCAAAAGACACTTCAAATTTAATTCAGTGTTTTCATTCCAAGTCTTATTAAGACAGAGGCAATAATAAAATATGCATTAAGCTTGGCAACTCAAATAAACTTATATGCAAAGGTGTCACTGACTGTTTTATTAGTTGCCAATTCAGGAAAGCAGGGCACCAAAGGGAGATGCCAGGTACGTAGGTGAGTAATGTTGTATAGACCACATAGTAAGGTGTCCAATAAGAATTAGGTGAGCGTGGAGGGACTGCAGGAAGATGGCATCAGAGAGGAAAGGTTGTGGGGGTGGGTGGTGGCTTTGAGATGCCACCCCCTTGACATCCCATTCATATCTATGCCTTTAAATTGGGGCAGATGGAGCTTGACACACCCAAACTGTCAGACAGGTCACCTTAGCTTCCCATTTGGGAAACTAGACACATTCCTCACCCTCTGGGAATGTACACCACAGTATGGGGGTGGGGTGTGGTGAGAAGGGCATCAGTTGAGGCCCTTAACTGGCCATAATGCCTCCATTAAGGTTCCTGTTTGTGGCAGTTTCAGAAAGTACTCAGTGGACCTTCACTCTCATAAATTAATTTAATTGGTCATCTGGTGAGCATGGGACAGGTATCTATCTAGGGCCAAACCACTCAATTCTTTTCCCCTTCTCCTCCAACTGTTTTGCCACCTCCAGGAAGAGGAAATGTCCATGCATAAGCTTCAGCTATCAGACTTTCTAAGTCCAAGCTGATGCAGTATTTGTATGAAGTGAGTAGATTGTTTAACATAGTGTCAATTATAATCATGGTAGTGATTTATACTAGTGGTGTTGGCCGGCGGGGGGGGGGGAATTTCAAGAATTTGGGTGAAGTTTCCAAAGACATAGAAACAAAGGACCAGGAGTAGGCCATTCAGCCCCTCGAGCCAGCTCCTCTAGTATAGATCATGGCTGATTATCTGCCTCAAATCCAGAACATCATGCTATTCTCCCACAACTTGATGTCATCAGTAACTAAAAGCTATTATTATTTATCTTGAACTTAGTTAAAGCTTCCATATCTTGATGGGGGTAGGGAATTTCAAAGCCTCACTATCTTCTGTGGAGCAATTCCATCTCAACTCAGTCCAAAATGTCTTCCTTTTACACTGATGCCAGCTCCTGTTCGATGTCGAGAGCTGATTCGCACTATTTGTGCTGCCAGGGCATAAGCGAAAGAACAAGAAGTCATTCAGAAATAATGTGTATTCAACAGATCATCCTTTCAAAAGGAAGGCAACACATACTGTTGTCAAAATGTAGTAAAGCTTATCTAGATGCATATGCTTGGGTATCGAGCATATTTTGGTCAGCTTGAATGTTTAAAGTTGATAGCACCTCAGAGATTCACAGACAAGAGAACAGGTTATATTGGAGCTATGCTTCTTCTAGAGGAAAGACAAGATGTCCATCTATTGATGGTTAACTCCCTTAAGAATTGAGTTGTTACAGGCTGCAAGCTCTGGGGTCTTTGGTGGATGTTGGCGCTGGTACAGGTGCACAGAAGATGGTTTAGTATTTGGTAATATTGGCAGATCATCCTCCACAGAATATCTTGCATGATACAATCTGGTCTCAGTCCATCAGCAGAGTAGCAAACTGCTCTCACGGACAGAGAACTCAGTCATGGCAATGGGATTGGCAGCGGCGAGTGAGCCCAGCGTGGACTCAAGTGGGTCTTGTGGAGACTCATAGCAGCAGCGATGAGCCTGGGCTCCCGGCAGCTTCTGCATTGATGAGGCTGTCCGAGCGCCAACGCAGAGTTGTTGCAGCACAGGCGAGTTTGGGCTCCCGTGGGCGACAACATCCAGCGTAGAGTCATGGAGGCGAGTTTGGCCTCAGTACAAAAGCCTGTGGCAGCAGCTGAATTGATGGGGTGGGCCTGAAGTGGACACAGGGTGGCAGTGGAGTCAAGTTTGGGCTGGTGCAGTACCCTGCAGCATCAGTGGCGGCTGCATCACCGAGGTCCAGTGAGGAATCACAGTGGTGAGGGCTTCAGTGGTGGTGAGATGGCACCAAAGAATGGCAACTCTTGTTCCAGCAGTGCCAGCACAGCAAAGAGGACCCATGCCTGGCCACCAGGCCTGGCACAGCACTTAACAAGGAGGACTGTAAAGTTGAACGTTTTTTTCTTTATTTTTCTGCTTTTGTATTCTCTGCTTGGTTTATTTATAAGATGGTGCCAGACAGTAGCGACATTATACAAAATACACGTGACCATAAATAAATAAATATCCTTGTAGGGAGATTTGCTAGTGCTACTCAGGAGGCTTTAAACTAGTAAGGGGTGGGGTGGGAATCAAAATGATAGTGAGAAAAGGCTGAGGCTGGTACAGCAGATAAGGGAATCAAGTCAAACAGTCAAGACAGACAAGAGCTTTGCTGAGAATGAGGTAGGAATGATGAACTGCATTGACTTTAATGTAAGAGGCCTAACAGGTAAGGCAGATGAACTTAGGGCATGGTTGGGAATATGGGACTGAGATATCAAAGCTATTACAGAAACGTGGTACAGGGATGGACAGGACTGGCAGCTTAATGGTCCAGGGTATAGATGCTACAGGAAGGACAGAAGGGGAGGCAAGAGAAGAGGGGGAGTGGCACTTTTGATCAGGGATAACATTACAGCTGTACTTAGGGATGATATTTTTGGGAGATCATCCAATGAAGATATGTTTTTGGAACTTAGAAATTAGAAAGGAAAATCACCTTATTGGGACTGTACTACAGTCAGCAGGAAATTGAGAAGCAAGTATATAAGAAGATCTCAGATATCTGTAAGAAAAAAAAGGTTGTAATTTCCAAACATGGACTGGGACTGACACAATGTTAAGGGCTTGGATGGAGAGGAATTTGTTAAGTGTGTAAAAGAAAACTTTCTTTCCAATATGTGGATGTACTGACCAGAGAAGGAGCAATAATTGACCTTCTATTGGGAAATATGGCAGGGTGAGTGAGTGAGGTGTCAATGGGGGACCACTTTGGGGCAAGTGGTCATAATTCTAACTCAGATTTCTGAAGAAGGGTCCAGACCCGAAACGACAGCTTTCCTGCTCCTCTGACGCTGCCTGGCCTGTGCTCATTCAGCTCCA